TAGGTTTAATTATAGGTCGGGTCGGGCCGGGCCGACCCATGAACAGGTCTAGTGGTATTCTATTATATAAGTGACAAGCTGTTAGGATTGCTTCCCCCCCACAAATTCAGAGGTGCACTTGAACTAATTAGCATTGCATTCATCATTTTCTTTCAATGTTCTATTAAGTCTTTCTGCAACTCCATTAGATTCAGGTTGATAGAGAGCTGTGGTTTCATGTATGATTACATTTTCTTCAAAGAATTTTCTAATGGTTTGTCCATCATATCAGTTCCTCTATCTTAGGGGTGAGCACAATTCGGTTAAAACCGAAAAGTGAATCAAAATTTTGGTTTTGGTTTAATTGGTTTAGTTTAATCGGTGTTTCGATCAGTTTCGGTTTTGGAATTCGGTTACATAGTTTGGTTTTCGATTTTGGTTCTTGTGATTGACATATCAGTTAACTGAAAAAACCGATTTAGTTTTGAAACTCTATATCATTGGGTCATTCAATGGGACACAATACAATTGTGGTTCCCATTGCATCTAATGTTTTCGAAAAGGCCAAATTTATTAAACAATTAAATAAATCCAATAAAAGAGGGAATACGAATAGGCAGCCACCGCAGCCTGCAACCCTCCCTCTCTTTTCGTAGAAACCGATCAACAAAATAGTAGTTCTTATTCTCACTTCTTCCTTCTAGTTTTATTGTTCTGAACTTTGTGACTTTTGATTTTTGAGTTTACCTTTAACCTTTGAAACTTAGGATTTTAGAGACTCCAGAGATACAGAGAGAAAAGCAGTGAGCTAGCGACGAGCCGACGACTTCAATCCAGAGTTCAAATCTAGACTTTAGTCCTATTGTGAGTATTGCCCAAGACTCCAAGTGTGCAATGCCCAGTGTGGTAGTGCTAGACTGTTAGTCCAATTGTTAGTTCATCACTCAACTCGCTCCCATCGATTTCAGACTTTTGTCCAGACTCTAGAGTCCATACTTCACTTTCAAGACTTATTGTTGTGTTCATATTTGGTTACAGGTAAATAAATCTTCTTCTTCTTCTTCTTTGTTTTTGATAGAACCTAGAAGGCTAGAACTCAGTATTTTCTTTTCAAATGATTTGCAATATTAGCATAGGTTAGAGTATCTCAGCAGAGCCCGCTAGTTTTAACTTTTTGATTGCAAAGTTTCTTTGTAAGGGACTTTTATTTGTGTTTAGAAATCAGAGGTTAGAAGTGGTGGAGCTTTTGATAACGTTACAATGACAATTTTGGTTTTAAATTTCAAGTGATTTTGAGTTTTGATAACTCTATCAGTTTCACATAGCACATAAGTGCTTCATGCTCATGTCCATTATTTTGGTTTTAATCGAAATATCCAAAATAATCGAAAAAAATTTTGGTTCGGTTTAATCGTTTTAGTACATTTCAGTTTCGGTTCCAGTTTTTCATTCCACTAGATCGGTTTTTTAAATTTTGGTTTTTTTCGGTAATCAGTTAGGAAAGAAAATAAAAAGACTTAGAACAGATAGAGTAGGGGTGAGCATTCATTTTTTTTTCGGCTCAAAACTGAACTGAAAAAACTGAAATTTTAAAAACCTATCTAGTGAAATGAAAAACCAAAATCGAAATGTACTAAAACCGATTAAACCGAACCGAAAGTACATTTCGATTTCGGTTTTTCATTTCACTATATCGGTTTTTAAAATTTTGGTTTTTTTGGTTCGGTTTTGAGTCGAAAAAAAATGAATGCTCACCCCTACTCTATCTATTCTAAGTCTTTTTATTTTCTTTTCTAACTGATTTTTTACTTCAATTTTGTAGTTTGTGAAAGCTTGATCAGCCTCATCTTTTGATATAAGTATAACTACTTTTGCATATCTAGAGAAATCATGCGTAAAGGTTATATAGTATTTTGTTCTTCCTCTTGCTTCATGACATTTAAGATTTCCTAGATCACTGTGTATAAGTTGTAACAATTCAGTTTCTCTTTGTTCACTTTTATGAGGTTTCTTAGTAAATCTTGCTTATATACATACTTGGAATTTTTTATTTGTAAAATTAATAGGAACATTCAAAACTCTTAATTTACATAAACATTTTAAATAAGGAGCACTACGATGTCCTAGTCTAACATGCCAAATATCGAAAGATACAAAAATATAAGTAGAACAATAAACAATTTTGTTCATAATAATATCAGAAACATTCAGTACAAACAATCCTCCTGCATTGTACCATTTTCCAATAAATACCTTATTTTTAGTCAACACGGTCTTTTCTGCTTCAAATGTGAGTTTCAATCCTACTTTGTTGAGGAGTGCTCCCGATACTATGTTCTATCGGATCTCCGGCACATGCAGCACATCATTCAACATGAGAATTTTTCCTTAGGTCCGTTTCAGGAGCACCTTTCTTTTGTCGATGACCTTCGAAGTTTGTGAGTTTCTAATGAAGACTTGCTCTTCTTCAGTCTTAATTGTATACTCATAGAAGGAACTGCAATCCCCACATATGTGCTTGGTAGCACTAGTGTCCAGTACCTACTCCTTCGGCTTATCAACAAGTTTACCTCAGTTACCATGGATGCGATAACATCCCCAGTCAAATTGACTTTCGGTTTCCTAGAGTCATTCTTTCAGTACCGGTAGTCCTTCTTGTAATGTCTGGGTTTGCCACATACATAGCAATTTCCTTTCTTTTGTTGCCTCTTGAATTTTTGGTCATTTTTTACATTCAAGTTTTTTTTTTTGAATTTTGTAGTCTTTTCCTCTACTAGATTGGTTTTGGAAAACTAGTCATCATTTTTGTTTCTGTTATTTTCTTCAATCTTAATTTGGACCATTACTTGGTCCAAAGTAGTGTCATTTCCTCTTGTGTTTCATACTGGTTTTGAAATCATTTCATGTATGTGGCAGTTTCTGTATGAGAAAACCAACAATGAATTCATCTACCAGTACCATGCATTCCTTTGCCAATTCCCCCACAAGAACTTATAACTCATCTATTTGGGCAAACACGTCCATGTCTTCTTTCATGGTGAAGTGTAGGAAGTTGACAATGACATATTTCTTGTTTTCGGCATTTTTTAAAGCATATTTAGTGTCCAATGCAATTCAGATTTCATAGGCATAATTGTAGGAAGAGTAAACATTGTACAGTTCATTGGACAAACAGTTTAGGATATGGTTGGTGCAAAGGTGGTCGGTTGTAGTCCAGTGTCCAACGCTTGTTGTTTGCCTTAGAGCAATTAGGGGTAGCTTTTGCCTTAACCAAACCGAATCCACTAAACATGGAGGAACCCAACGTTTGTAATTGGTTCCATTGAAGGGTTCAATCTTAGAGAAATTGTGAGCTATTAACAGTATCCGATTCCTCATGAAGGGGTTAGCAAAGATAGGTTCCATAAATGCGGTTTTAAGAATGTTGTAATAACAATAAAGAGAGTAGATGGAACTTATTGGTAATCGCTTTCCAAACTGAAGTTGTTGTGATGTGAAGTTGTTGTAGGAACTCGAAACTGAGAATTACAGGAAAATAGAGGACTGAGTCATGTCACTTGGTCACTCACCTTAAAACGGTATTTGCCCCCTATGGTGCTGGGTGATCGCAAACCAGTCACTAAGATAAAATAGCCCATAGGCCATTTGTAGGTGTGCACCCACTTATTAGACGTCCATGAACCATAGAAGATTGACGTTTAGATTTTTCAGAGAAAATAATAATGTTGAAAAATGGTGTGTAAATGGACATAGATGTCTCCACAAGAAACTCTTCGGAACGGTGCTCGTGTTCGAAGAGAGAGAAAGGAAGAATAGACACAAAAAATAAAAAGTTTTAATTTGAAATTAAATTCGAAATTTTAAAAAAGAAATTGAGTCACGCGCACGCCCCCGCCCCCGCCACGCCCAACTGCGGATTCTTGGGTCACACTGAAGGCTCTGCCCAAATAATACAGATAATCAAATGATAGAGGATTTAGCGGTAGGCAGCGCTGGAAGAGAGAGAGAGGCTATGGAGACCGGTTGGAAGCTCCGTTAGAACCGGAAGAGAACAACTACATTCGTCCAATCATACTTCAACCCAAACCGTCTGGTAATCCAGAAGATGGTAGTTCATCGGGTGCTGTATGTTCACAGGAAACAAATAACCAGTCAAGCCTGCAACCTGGTCAAAGGGTAGAAGTGAAGATATCTCCTTCTCAGCTGCAACCCCAGGTGGGTGAGCAACGCAAGGCGGATAAACGAGCTCAGTTCGTTGGAGAATCTAGTTCGCAGGCAAAGGTTAGCAGGTCGGAGTTTCTGAGCTCCGGCAGCCTGCGGGTGTTTCTATCTCCGGTGAAAGACCAGTTGACGTGGAATCCAAACAGTTCCTTTTCGGAGAAAATCGACCTGGGTAAGATGTGTCAGCAAAAGGACTGTGATGGTTATGGATCTTCGGCGGTGCAGCAGCTTGGATTAAATGGAGATCGAATGGAGAACATGGAGTTGACCGGGCAGGAGGAGTATGTCATGCATTATCCGGCAAATAATACGGAGCAGGAGGACAATACTGAGATAGATGTGGCAGAGACGAGTGGAAATGAACCAGATTATGAAATGATGAACCAAAACAAGGACCCGGAACAAGTGAGCCGGAAAAGGGACCGAGTTGAGAGCGAACCGTCAGCTGAACCGGATCACTCAATAAAGGGCTTAGACATGGTGAAGAAAATCAAAATTGGTGATGGTGACGAAAATGCAGGGAAAGAAGGAAATGAAACAAATCAAACATTGGATGCACAGCCTGACAGCAACGCTGATGATGTACCTGAACTGAATCTTTTCATTTAAAATCCAGTTATTCTTTTCATTTATAATCAAACAATCAATGAGCAGCCCATTTGGGACGTAGCCCAATCCTTGAAGTTCATTGGGCCGATATGGCCCATTTAATGAACCGGGCCTATTGATCTTGGCCCGTTTTACTGGAGAAAACAAATTAACAAACAACAAACCCCCGCCTCTGCCTTCGCTTCGGCGCGCGATACTTGAATTTCTGAATTCTCTCTAAAATTTCAACTATCTGAGCTTGGACTGTCCAACTCTTCTTCCTAAAATCATCATACGTCTTGATTCTTAAAGAATATAGTGGAATTTTCACACTCTGTACATGGTGAGCTTTCTTGATCCATCAACCATGCCGAGCTCATTATTTTTACCATCTTTAGGGTTTCTTTTAAGAACTCTTTCTCTGTTACTCTCATTTTTGTTCAGGAAGAATCCACCGAAGAATTGGAACCGCTTTTCGATTACAGCCGCGTTCAGCCGAAAGATGTCATATGGATTGATGATGGTTAGTTCTCCATAGATGTTTTGAAGTTTTAAATACTGCTGAATTGGGTTCACTTTCATTTCTTTTTTTTCCCTCTTTTCAGCCGACGACTGCCTCGATTCGCCCCCAACTCCCTCTCGGAAACGTAAAAGTAGTAGCACTTCCTTAGTAAGTGTCAACTTAACTTTTGCCTTTTCTTTTTAAGTTCGCCATATTTGAATTTGAATACGGATTTCCCCCTCTGGTTTTGGGGTTTTCTTCTATGCTTATTAGGTTGAAGAAGCGGGTAAAAGCGGCAAAGTTGTAAATGTCACTGATTCTGAAGAAAACGAAGAGGATTGGCTCCCTCCTCCACCTAAGATTTCGAATGCTGCACTGAAAATCGAACCCGATTCAACCATAAAAGAGTTGAGGTATATAATTCATTTTTCCTTTTTTTTTTCAATGTAGTTTGTTTCTCATGTGCTTCCTAATCGTAAATATGTAATCTTGAGTTGATAATACGTCAAATTTGGTTACTATCGTATTTTGTGATTCGGTATAGCTCATTTGGAAATTATTACATTTTAATTATTTAACCATCACTGAAAAAAAGTAGTAAGAATATGAAATTAACTCTATTATTTTTAAAGAGAAAAAGCAATGCAGCCTTAAACAAGCTGTTATGAAAATCAAGAATTTGTTTCATTGTCAATCATGATTCCCTGGCTAGTGCTCCTACTGAGGTATGCTTGCTGCTTTTAAATGAGAAAATACAAGTTGAGTAGTTACCGGGCCTATCTAGCCTCCAGAAGCTAACTGGTTCTGTTTGTGCCATGTTGCATGCTTTTGGTTGCAGTTGTTGGCTGTAGATGTTGTCACTTGTCAGATCTATTGTAGCCTGTAGGTTCTATATGTGGAATTTCTTGACTCTAGATCTGGTTCAGGAAGTCCAATGCGTGTAAGCTTATATACTTTTTAAATATCCAACTTGTTCATAATGGGTAAGTGAACTTTGAATAAAATCCACTTTTGTTTAGTCCTTAATCCCTAAGTATTGGGTTTTGCTAGAAGTTAGACGCCACTAAACCAAAGTAATAAGCTATAACTTGGACCAAAGTCAATGAACAAGTAATCAGAATCAAACAGAACTAGAAAAGAAGTAACAGAAAGTTGGAAACCCAATTCTCAGGACCGGTGGGAGTGGGGGACTCTACAAGGGCAGAAATACTAGCTGCTGTACAAGGGATCCAGATTGCCAAGCAGCTTGGGGTGGAACATCTCTTAGTTGAAGGGGATTCTCAGGTGGTAACAGGGTGGCTTCTAAAACTGGATGCTGCCATTTGGGGCTACAAAGACCTCATAAAAAAAGTAAAGTGGTTAACCAGTAATATGAGAGTTGAGGTTAAATGGGTAAGCAGATTGGCTAATACCCTGGCTGATTCTTTGGCCAAACAGGGGGTTTCCAGGGAAGTTTTTTTTGTGCTACATTGTAACTTGTTCTAGTAAACTGGAAAGCTGTACTTAATTAGCTTGGAGAGGTTGCATCTTGTGCCTCTCCTTGGGGTCCTTGTACTATTTATCTTTGCTGACTAATAAATTTCATTCAATTATCAAAAAAAAGTTGGAAACCCAATCCTATACTCCTCGTTCATCAGATTCTTTTCTCTTAGAGACTGTTAGTGTTGTAAACTGCAAAAATAACCAGGCTGGGCAAGTATAATTCCTCATTCCTTTTCTTCTTAGATTGTTTGATCACTAGAATTTCACTATAGGGAAAATGCCAATGGTGGAAATGCTATACAAAGCAAGATGTGGTAAAAGACACCCATACAGCATAGAATTAAGATAGGTGTTGAACATGGTAAGTTCCAACTAGAAGGTCTGTTGCTTTTACCTATCTTCAATGGGTAACCGTCCTTCAGCTTTATAATACCCTTGGGAATCATGTTATTGATTTGAACAATTTCAACTACATCAAACTCAAGCCTATTCCAAATTTAACAAATACTCAACCAACCTATCAAAACCAAGGTATTGCAGACAAAATGTTCTAGTTTTGCCAATGGTTTACTATGTTTTGATCAAGAACATCATTTCTAAGGAGAGTTACATTCGTTTTCAAGGTCAAATTCTTGATTTGTTTAGCTTAAATTAGATAAAATCATGATATTATCCTTCTAAGCCTGTTGTAGATCCTACTTCATTTAATTTTTTGAAGAAGGGAAGTTTTTGAATTGTATTAAGAGTGAAGTCAAAATACATCAGCCCATATACAATGAGAGCCTGTACATCGGGAATATACAAAAAGGTTCATCCAAAAAAAGGTTCGGCTTGCAAAAAAGACCTACTTCATTTAATCTAATTGACAGTTGTTAGGTGGTGTTTGATAACTGCTGAAATAGGTGCTGAAAGTGGAATGTAGAAAAGATTCCAAGCTTAAAACAGCTAAAATCCGAGGATGTTATTGATATATGATAAAAATTTTTGGGTAAAGTATCACCCCAATGATTGGGAAACTGGTTCACTGACTGAGATGTTAAGCCTCATTTAAGTATAAAGCCTAACCTTCATTCTGATGATGAAAGAATATGGTCTTGGGAGTATACAGGTAAGTTTTCATCTCAGCCCTTCTACAACAACCTTGTGTTTAGAGAGGATAGTGATTTCCCTTGGGTTTTGATTTGGAATTCCCATTCTCCCTTGAAAATTGCTTTCTTGGTTTGGACTGTGGCTCTTAGTAAATGCCTAACATCAGATCAGCTACTCGGAAGGGGGTTGCATCTTCCTAGTATCTTGTGCCCTTTTTGCAATGAGGTCCTTGAATCCTCTAGTCACCTCTTTATCTACTCTAGTTTTTCTCATCAGTTGTGGGAAATGGCTTGGTCTTGCTTTGGTGTTTGTTCCCACATACCTGAATCAGTACTTCAGCTTCTGCAAGGGTGGACTTGTGAGGGTTTGAATGCTAGGGGCAAGTTGCTTTGGAGGATTTTTTGATCTGCCATCTTGTGGGCTCTTTGGAAGTAAAGAAATTGCTGGATTTTTTGATAAAAAATGTTTTGTTTTAGCTTCTCCAACATTCTATTCCTGTGATCAAACTTTAGCAGTCTACCACAACATCTGTGTATTTCTTCAAATGTCAAGATGCTCCAGCCATTTAGTGGTATACCTAGCACTCCAATCCACACCGCAATTTCTTTCCTTCCAGAGAAATTGGAAGACCTTTTGAAGTCAGCAATTTCTCTCCTTGATGATTAGTCTTAGGCAGTGTTTCAAAAGCACAAGGCGCAAAAAAAGCGCAAGGGCCAATTTGTGCCTGAGGCTCAAGGTGCAAGGCGAGGCGCAAAATTACAAAATAAAGCTAAAAAATAGAAAAAGCCAGAAAATTCAAAAAAATGCCAAAAAATTAAAAAAAATGCAAAAAATATTAAACATAATGTTAATAAAAAATATAAACTTAAAWTTTAAAATAAATGTTTTAAAAAACCTATTATCTAAAATTAAAATACATAAACATAACATGTAAAGCGTATTCAAATGAAAATTTAAAAATAAAAGCAGACATATAAAGTATTTTCAAGCACGTAAAACCCACAATCTCTTTTTTTCCTTAATTGCATTGCTTCAAGTAGCTAATGTGATGTAAAACATATTGCACTCTTGATTCTATGAGTTGCCTTTGTACCACGCCCCTCGAGGCAAGCCCAAACAAGTTCATGTTAGGGTCTGAAATTCTTATTTCTCACATAAAAAATAAATTTATAACTTTCATTGCCTTTTAAGAAGATATTTTATTGCAATGAATGAATGAACAACATTAGCAAATAGGGGGTTCTCGGACTTGGGCGCACCAGGTGTGCACCTAGGACCTGGGCAAGGCACATACCCCAAAATGTGCCACCTGTGCGCCTAGGCGTGCTTTTTAAATCACTGGTCTCAGGTCAATCCATTTGACAACTTTTGCAAAATCCAATTGCAGTAGAAGTCAATAGAGGAAATGTCTCAGCTGGTTAGCAATGTTGATAGGAAGGGCGATGGAAATCTTGGGGTTTTAATGCAGTAGGGCTGGAACAAACTATCAGAAGACAGAAATGAATCACTCCAAGAATCAATCACTCTAGGGTTTGTAGGAATCACTCCATACATCATGGGAGCTCTTAAGAAATTCTCATTCGTTCATTCATTCATTAGCTTCAAAAGGAAGAGAATACATCTATTTATAGAGTGACTTGTGTGGCCCGGAATACTGTTCACAGTTCACCATAATTACAAAAAATGCCACTCCTTGTCTTGTGCACGAAGAAACACAATAACTTTCTATCTACTAATGCACATAAACTGAAAATTGAAAGACAAACCCTACTAAACTAGAGGAACAAGATGTTATAACCCAGCCTCTCATAGGACTAGTTAAAATGTCGAAAATACCCATACTATCCAAATATACAAATATACAGAAAATTTCAGAAAATTCCAAATTTGACTCTTCAGCCTTTGCATTGCCTGGGTCAGGAGATGTGGTTTAAAGGGGAACTTGTTTGAAGAGGAAAAAATCGAAAGAGGAGCACAACAAAGCCTATAATAGGAGGATAGAAGGAAGGGAGAAGGATAAGCTAAAGAAGGGGGAAGAGAGTTTTAGGGGTGGAGAAGTGTTGATTGGGGGCTGAACTTGGAAGAGGCACAGGGAGATTTGTGAAGAGAGGGGAAAGGTTGACATAGACATCTTGGTTGTTAGATGGGTGGAAGGGAAATAACTTGGACTCTTCTTTTTGGGGGAAGGGGTAGTGAGAAAAGTGATTGTGTAGTTTGAGAGAAACAGAGGGAAGAATACAATAAAAGAAAAATAGTAGGGGAAGGAAGAAGGGATACTTGACTAAGAGTAGAGTTGGGACATTAGAAAGGAGAAAGGGAAGGGGGTGGAGGTAGAGTTAGAAGATGAAGCTGGTGTCGTGGAATGCTAGGGGCCTAAGAGAAGAAAGAAGAAGAGCTTTAGTGTGGAATGTTCTGAGAAAACATAACCCAGGCATGGTGATGTTGCAAGAGACAAAGTTGGAGACTTTTGATTTAAGATTGAAGAATGAAATTTGGGTATCTAATAATGAGGAATGGGTGGAGGTGAAGGTTTTGGGTCTATTGGGTGGCTTAGTGATTATCTGGGATCCAAGGGTTCTCAGGAAGATTGGAGAGAAGGTAGGTGTGCATTCAATTTCGATTTGCTTTCAAATGGTGGAAGGGGAGTGGAGATGGAGACTTACAAATGTGTATGGGCCAAATGGAGAAGGGTTAATGGGGGAATTTTGGAAGGAACTGGAGTGGAGGGGGCAAGACAGGAGTGAGGAGCCCTTGGTGTGTGATGACGATTTTAACATAGAATGTTGAGGGGGAAATGGAAGGGGGGAAGGGATGTGAGAGAAAGTTTGGGGATGAGAAGATT